CTTCAAAAACAACCTGCTGGACAGGAAGAAAGGTGGCACAAAAGGCCCTCAGTAGTTCTTTTCCAACCCTCTTTTTACCAGACTACCAAAGGTGACCTTGAATTAATATAGGTTTGACAGAAAGCTATTTGCTACTTCCAGATAATTTTTAATTAAAAAACACCTCAAAAAAGGCTTGGATTAAAAAMATTTGCTGGGTAGAAATAGGAACTTGAAATCACACGGATCCCTCTTCCTGCATACAGAGCAGCAACACACTGCTGTGCTGCAAGAAATCAAGTCAAATCAAAAGGATATTTTGCACCCATTCAGATCTCTTGGAGGGCTGTAGAGAGAACATCTGTGGATTGACTTTATTCCCAGTTTTTAAGCTTGATTACTAGCAAATCTTAAAATAGTTACTGGATGCTAAACTGTAAATAAAATGTGCAGACTAACAAAAGATGCAACCCTGATATTTGTGCTCAGTCCGTAATCACACTTATTATTCCAGATTTTTTTCAGTAACTTCATTCACTTGAAATGATTCTGTAGAGGAACAAGCCTCTTGTTAGGGTGTTCTGTAACAAGTTATTGCTATGAAATTATTCACTGTGTTTCAGGCTTGAAGGAGGGCACAGGTGATGCCTGCTTGCCACTCAACGCCATGTAAATTCACTGAGCATCTACATTTAAAATAAACCTAAATAAGGCAAAGTAGATGTTGGTATTTGTACACAAAAGTTAAACATCTTAAAATAACTAAGGTCGTGGCAGTAACACCCCAGAAAGGAACCAGACAATACTCTATAGGATCCACTTTAAACAAGACAAAAATCCTTACCTCAAGGAGGTTACAGCCTTTAAATCTCTCCCGGTAATGAGCTTCTTTTCCAAACACAGACAGGCATCTTCTTGAAAACTCAGGATTTAGAATGTTTTTGTTAATCCACAAAGAGTAAAGATTAAACATACTCTTATAAAAGGGATATAAAGACATCTGCTTTTATGTATAGTGACAAGCAAGCAAAGTAAACCCATGCATAAAAAACTGCTAAAAAGCATGACCTGAATTTTCATTTCCAGAAAATGAACAGGGAATTTTTTTTTTTCAGATGTATGTATAGGTAACATGGCAACAAGGGAGCTCTGGTCAGCAGTATATGCAAAAATTTGCTAGATGGTTCATTCAGTCCGGCCGCTTACACTAGGAAGTGAACTGAGAAGAGTACACACAGGCAACATGGAACACTCTAGGCAGAGACATAACAGACTCTTACATTTAACACTAGATTAGATCAAAAGCTTGTTGCCAGAAGCCTGTTGTAATTATCTTTAGATATCACCTGACACGTCCCAGGTGTTAAAGGGCATTCAAAACAGAGAATCATCATTTAAATTCTCATATAATCTGCAGATGCAAAACTGTTCCTTTTGTTTACTGCATCTTGACAAGGCCTTTTGATTTTTGCCAGCCATTAATATTAAAGACCTATTTCCTTGATTTAATTTAGATTTTGAAAGTCACTGACTTCTGCTATACAAAGTTTGTACCCAAGACTTCTCCTTTACTACAGGTTGCTAGGCAAAACTCCTCCTGACAGTACAACTGAAAGGGCAGAAGTGTTTCACTCTTTCCTTCAGATGCTTCCGCAGGTTCTGCTGGCTGATCATGCTCTAGGGGCTGACTGCAAAAGGGAGTTTCTTAAACCAGGAGCAAAGAACCTAGCCCTTTATGCCATGGAGTGGGAAAGAATGATGTGCCCCAAAAGCTGACCTGTGGCATGTCAGAGGCTGGACAGAAGACTACAGATGAGATTTTTGGAGCACCATCCCATCTCCATCCCACTTAGCTTGCAGCCCAGCTCTGCCAAGGGGAGGCCAGGCTATGYCCTGTTTGCAGCCCCATTTCCTCTTACGGCAGCAGGAAAATTCTCCTTTTGAAGCTCCCCATCAAAGCCTGTGCAGCATTTGCTCCCTCCCCAGCTGTCCTGGTGCAGRTTCATTTGCAGGCTCTCTAAACGAGACCAGTTGAGTGTTTGCCCCCTAAAAAACCTTTATTTAAAAAACTGTATTTGTTTAAATATGAAGTATATACAATCCATCATCTTGTGCAGCATAGGTACAACGAATGGCCACCCTGCACAAGAGGGAGCAGGGACACAACACGAGCCCCTGAGCACAGGCACAGGCAATCCTTTGTAAAGGATTGAGAGCCGCAGCTGTGCCAGGCCCTGGCACAGGGATTGCTGGGAGCAAGGACAGGCACCACGGAAATCTCCAGAAGATCAGGCCAGATCTCCAGAAAGAGGCAGGAGGAGCAGTGCCATTACAACATTGCAGGTGACTATACAGGCAGCATCAACCCTCTCCTSAGTGTAACAGCTTCTAAAACAAGACAATTTGCTCAAAATTACACCATTAAACACAAACAAAATCTCTTTTCGTAAATATGAATATACACCCACATACACACACTTGTAGAAYAGGAACTTGATGAAGCAACCAAGTGACATGAAGTGTTTGGAAACTACTTCAGTCTACAAGCTCTAGATGGATTTTTACTGGCTTTACTCAGTTCTATTAACCAACACACACTTATCTATAAAGCGTTCTTCTTTATTTAAGTTAAACAAATTTTCAAGGATGGTTTCCATCTATAAAATCAACAAGTACAAGCTCTGTACAGCAGACTTTTCAAACCAACTGAAAAAAAAAAAACCAGTTTCCAAACTATGTTTTGAAAATCTGCAAAATAAACAGTAYCACCATTCTTGTTTTGAAGACAGTAAGTTCTCAGGAGACTCCATCACAATTTGCTTCAAGGACTCTTAATTTATCTTTCAAATGGGTGGATTTCTTCAGCATTAAAAACCCYTAAAATCACAGTAAGTAACTTTGGCACACTGTCATGTAAACGTAACAAAAGGATACCCCTTCTTGTCTGTTCTCTCAAGGAAAAGCAACATACGGCTTCTATATTAAAACTCCTATGCACAGCATCCATGGGGAACTACTGAAAAAATATTCCTATTTATGAATGTTGTTGTCATTAAAGACTTAAGAGATGGAATATGTATTTTTAAATTTTTTTTACTAGTAATTCTGATTCAGAGATAAGAGGCAGGTSAATATTCAGAGTTGCAGCTGCTGATTTCAGTGAGTACTACCTTCCAATTGATCAAAGATGCAAATGGAAATACTTCCATGGTTGAAACTGAGTGGTTGGGTTTTTTAATTTCCTTTTAAATTCTGTTTTTCAAAGCCTCAAACAACTGGCTTACTGCTGAGCTCGTATTTCAACATTTGTTTTCCAAAATATGAAGGCATCTATTGCTATGTTTATGAAACACGTTCTTCAAGTTCTCAGCTAAGTTAAAAGGCTACAGGGAGAGACTAAATGCTGAAAATAATTTATCCACTGTCTGGCCTTTTAAACAGGCAAGTTTTGGAAAAGTGGATTGTGGATAAGCAGAGAAAAAGTATTAATTTTTCATGACAAAAGTCAGATGATGGTGGATGGGTAAGACTGAATTCAATGCCCCCATCCTACAGTGTGCAGGTACCTGCAGGTCATAACTTYAGACACAACAAGGTATTTAGGGGCACACAGACTGGCACAGTAAAGTCACGCTGCCCACGAGAGTACCACCTCCACGCCTGTGCATAGGTACAACCAAGGGAAAATGAAAAATGAGGAACTATTCCCAGGACAATGAAAAATGAGGAACTACTCTACTTCCAGGACAAAGAAAGAGGGGGACTGTACCAGCATACCAGAGTACAGAGATGTTTTTCACTTTGTTATGATCAAYCTTTATATTTTTCCAAGATACATCATCTTTCCAAAACCACTTCCTGGTGCTCTATGTCTGCACTAATTTTTGTCAATGCTGTATCGTGTATTAATACTTATTTACTTTCCTCCTCATTCTAAAAGCTCATTGATGCATTTGCTTTTAATAAAAAAGTATATAGTCTAGGCAAACATAAGAAAGGACAGGTCAAAGCTGTGGTTAACTTTGAGAGTATTGTTTTATAAAAATGACATCAGCTGGACTGAAATTGCAAAATGCACAAGTTCTATGGTTAAAACCACATAGGCTGTGCAGGTATCCAGGCTGATTCCCAGAGTCAAGCCTGAATCCATTCAAAAACTACATTTAAAGTAACAAAATGGAAGAAAATTCCCCAGTAGTAAGTCTATAAATTAAGCAAGTGCAATTCAGAGATATCACATAGCTGCTCATCTTTGCAAATAAAAATTCAGATCTTGTGCTGTAATCAGTGATGTTMCAATTTGAACTTATTTCTACAACTCAAAAGGGGAGTTTGTGACAGCTTTTTCTCATTAGSGTCCAGAATAAAACTATGCTGAACCAACATGGCTGCACAAAAGCTCTGTGCAGTTTATATCACTTTAAAACAAAGGAAGAAGTTTAAAGACAAAGTACTACAGAAATGGTCAACACAAATAGAAAGTACAAGTTTAACATTATCCAGAGCACAGGTGATGAATTCCCAAGTTGGAATAAACAATCCGAGCAATCATCTGGGCAGATGCCTTGACTTCCTTTGCTATTTTCTTTCTCCTCCTGAGTTTCATGATCTCCAGATAGGGTGAAGTGTTAAGAAGTAGATCCAGTTTGCAAAGCAAAAGCATCCAGTGTTAGCATGGACATCACACCCAGCAGCACAAAATGCGCACCCTCAAAGTTTCTGTCTCCTAGCACTCCAATCCAATTTCTGGTTATACATATGTCAATCACTTTGCTGATAATTATAAGATAATGAAAACTGATACAAATCATTGGGAGATGACAATATACATATTTTCATATACTTATATTTAGAGTCCATCATAGAAAAGTTCATATCCAAATTACGAAGTACACACAGGAGAAAAAGAAAACAAACTTCAGAATGACACGTCTGGTTCTGGAAATGACAAACCATGACTTCTATTCCAATGGAGTTTTCAAATTACCTTCTCCTAGTAATTTTTCCCACCCTCCCTCCCACATTCTGTTTCCCATAAATGTTTCTTCAGATCCTTTTGTTTATCATACGTCAGTTGTTCCTAGAGTTAATTATCTGCTGTGCAAGTAGCAGCTGAAGACAGAAAGGAACAGTTGAAGTCTGCAGCACAATTCCTTCTTTGTGTGAAGTCATACTCAGTGACATCTTTGCAGTGCTCTGAGTCCCCTGGATCCCTGGTGTCTGCTTCAGCACTCTACTTTCAGATAAAGGTGGAATACTGAGGTATATAAGTTCCGTGGAAAGTTTTAAGAAACACATCAGTAATTCAATCAAAACTTTGCCCAATGTTTTTCAGTTGAAACAGCATTTTGCTTGTAAGTCCTACTGCTGCAGATTAAGTGTGAATTTCCACTGCTGCGACAAAGAAGGATTGCAGATCTCAACGGTGAGACCACCATTTTTGGCATTTCGGCTGTCTAGACAGAGGTTGCTGCCAACGTGCCTCAGTTTAGAATTGCTTTCAATTTGTTCCCATTTCTGGAAGAGAAAACATAGTTATTGACCTKGAAAAGCAAAAAAAGGAAGACTCCTACATCCTGTCCTTTGAAGTCTTCATAATCTCCCTGGCTTGTGTCTGGAAAGCTATAAAAGCTGCAATAATAGGAACAATTTAGATGATTCTTGAGTAAAAGTATAAGTTCTGGCAAGCCTTGCCAAAACAGCTGCTCTTTCAGCTAACATTCTAAAAGACWTAGACTGCATCAACACATTTCCCTCTATTCAGAACTTCTCAAATACACTGTCCCACCCTGTTACCTGTATGAAACCTCTGGTCTGAAGAAAAAATGAGAATGAAAATCYATCCACATACCACTACAATACTGAGCATAGAGAAGCAAGAAGCACACTCACTAKAGACAAATTTCCACAAATCCAGAAATTTGTCAGACACCTTTCAATTCTACAGACAGCAACCAATCTGTGCTATCACAAGTTCTTTGTCCGAGATGATGTAAAGGATAGAATAAATCCCAAATACAGGATTTTTTTTAAAAAAGGGGGTTTCTCTTGTATGTCTACCACATTATGCCTGTAAACCTTATCAAGAAAATCTTGCTTCCYTAGTTTCCTTTTCTGAAAAGTGGCAAGAATATTCCTTCCTTCATCAAGGAACAGTTCCCAGTCTGCAAAAACAGAGATATGGAAGGAAGCTGGCAGATGATTAGAACTGATGCCTGAGCAGAAACAGATGAGTTGTTGTATGACTACATCAAAATGTGATTTTCCTCAGGCATGGGGAATAGATGAAGTTACAATGCTGCACTGATAAAAATGAATTTAAAGAGTCTAGTACTGCTATAAACAGACAACAACTGAAAAGAAGGAAAGCCAAAACACATTCTTCTGAGACAGAATACATAATATTCAAACTTCACTGAGCAAGACCTTTCAACAAGACGTTGTGGAATACATAATCTCTTTCAGAAAACACACATGGCAGTTGAACACTTTTACACATCAATGGGTGAAACCTTTACATAAGGCCCTAGTTGGGATAAATCTTATTCTGCTTAACTATCATGAATCCTTTACACACACAAATAGCTGAGAAAAGTAGAGCCTACAGAAGATATGATCACTGGGGCGTTGTTTATTCACYATCCTTGTTTTCCCCACTGTTTGCAGAGTGCAGTCATGACATACTWACCTGTCTGCTGTCGTTTTCCCTACAGCCCTGAAGTTTTATTAGTGAACCAGGTGCTCTGTCCACAACAGTAAGGCACAAATCCATGTGTTTCACTGACTTGTCCTTTGTTAAGGCCCATTCCTATAAAAAGGAAGAAACAAAAAGTRTACAAATTTGTGTACATTAACATGTGTACATGCTATCTCTGCATATACAGCACAGGTTAAAATCCTGCAAATAGCGATTTACGAGCATTAGAATAGTTCATTGTTTCCCACAGCGCAGGARAGGAAAAGCCCTTTTCAAATTTAGTAATTCCAATTGCTTCAGCGTCCCCGCATCAGCTCAGGGCTGTGYTGGCTGTTTGCTCCCTCTGCTGGCTTCACACAGCTGCTGCGGGCAGTCACACAAGACCTCATGGAAAAKAGCCTCCAAATGCTTATTTAGTTAGATGTTTATCTACATGTGCACGTGTCTGTGTGTATATGACATCTTGTCCCTATCTTCTGTGTAGAAGAGATTCCTACATTTGTAAATATTTACGTATAAGAAGTTACGTACACAAAAACCCTGAAAGCAGGGTCTGCAGCATTACTGCCCACCCTGCCCACATACTGAACAAAGCATATGGACCAAGGGAGGAAACAGCAGTTCTTAATACAATAGAGACCACCAGGGTACTGTACACAAGAGGGATAGAAAGAATGTTCCCTTCTATCCAAGGCATGATGCACAATAGAATCTCCTTTAAAYGTATTTAAATATGCAACTCATGGAGAGCAAAGAAAAGCTCCTCTGTATGTTCTGATGCCCAGCTTGTTTGATCTCAGCATCTTTTGACAAAGACCTGATCCTTCCCTGATGTTCAGACTCTCTCCATATGCTTTCCTCCTTTCAAGTTTGGTCTCCAGGGTCCACACTGATCTCCATTTGTCTAACTATCCTTTGAGGAAAGAAGCCACTTGATTGAAGCCAGGCTAATTATCCAAATCGTGCTTATAACTACTTAAAATGGCATGATTAGCTTCYGTCAAGGAACTGAAGAGGATTTGTAATTGTATAATACAAAACCCTAGACATACAGGGCCAAGCCTGGCTACATTTAAATGTTATTTTGCACATAATCAGTATTTCAGAAATAAATTACTAATCCCACTCAATTTTTTTCTTATTTTTCTGATACCTTATCAATTTTTGGCTTGTATAATTACTTTGAAACTCAGGAGATGTAACAATTATTAAATCTCTTTGGGAACAGATGCTCTATCAGAACAKTCAACTCAGGGGATTACAAGCAATCACAATCACACAGGTCGCAAGCCACTGGAGGGGTACCATATTCTACAATTATGAGAATGATGACAGATGCAGRAAATCAAGCAAAGCCAGGACAACGCTGCATATCCGTGCATTTGTCTTCTAAACTCTTAAGCTAATAACATCTTTTATTCTCAATATGTTAACCTCAGATGACAGCAAAATTACTTGCCTTCTCAGTTTTGTCCAGTTTGTAAGATGTCAACATGAAYCATTACTATATAATACTATATTAATAGCCACTTTTATAGCAGCCACAACTAAAGGAATTAAACAAGTTATTTCCAGAGCTTGTCAAGAATTATAAATGGCCCTGAACCCTTCCCTTGTAAGATTTACACTGAAAAATGACAAATGAAAATACTACCAGGGATGCAGTAAAACCTGTGTCTGAGAACTCTGCAATCAGAGAGTTAGAGCCTTGAAATTATTACCATTATACACCCTCACCCTTCCATCAAAAGGCTGTATGAGCCCCAGCCACAACAGAAATCATGCAAGAAGTTAATATATTTAAAAGTCGAAGGTACAGAYGCTTTACACAAGCTCCAAGCTCTGTTGCTGGAGACATCGACATGATGGCCCTTCACACTATGAGACACAGCTTAGAGATACTTTCCTCCAGTGATCAGTAATGATGGCCATGATGGAGATAAGATGGAACAAGTTCCACCACACCAGAGGAGAAGAAAAATTGTTTATGCTCAGGGCACAGGTTGGAAATTGGATAGCTCTACACAAAGATCAAAACATCTGAAAAAAAATCTGTGTCAAATAAGAAATACTAAGTTAATAGAATACAACTAATCTGAAACTTCCCCCTTACTCTTAAGTGTATTTGGTTTCACCTTTAGTTCCTTATCACAGCCCTGCATATCGTCAAATGCACTACAACCTATTTTCATCTACCACTGAGTCTATCCACCTGGGAGAAGGGAGAGGAGGGGGAAAGGGGGTAGAAATCCCATTTTTACTTAGATTTTGCCTTTTAAACTGTGTTGAACATAAGCCAGAATACACCTTTCAAGTTATATGAGAAGGTTGCCACAGTCTGTAATACACAAGTGCTCTTAATCTCAACTACCAAAAAACTTCTTGATAAGAATAAGGTGCAAACCACAAAGTACAGATGTAAAGATTGTGGTTTTTCCCCCCTCGCCTGCCATGCTGTTGTTTCCTTTCAATCCAATACGAGTTCTTCTTGGACATTAAACCTAGTTTTAACCCATTTTGGCTCTTAATGTGCTCTCAAAGGTATCTGCTCAGAGCAAATGCATACTTGTTTGTCAAGGTCAGTGTCACAGAAAAACAGCACAGAAAGAGGAGGGTCAGATACAGGGAAGTGGAGTTTGAAAGAGGAAGATAACTTTGTGTATCTATAAAGAACACACAACAAAAGCACAAAATTCTAAGATTTCTGCTCCAAGACACTAGTGACTCATCTATCCTTTCTCCCCAAAAAAAACCCATTGTGGTTTCTGCAAAAATGWGGGTTCTTTCATAAAGGTAATTGAAAAGGCCTCCACAGATAAATTCTCTTTAATGATGGGGAAAGGAGGCATTTCTCACATGATGATTTGAATGAATTGTCATCATACATCTTCCAGGAAATTACTTCATTTTAGGCTTCATCTTATTTTAGGGTTTTTCCCTTCTAATTTCAATCAAAGCAAACTTCTGATTCTCATTCAACAGTAGTYTTTAATTGGTCAGCCTTCTATTTTAACAGATGTACTTGACAGGTTATATTACATTTGMTTTATAGTCAGATTTAATCTGACAAGGATGTAGCGACAAAGCAGCACACAAAGGAGTGAGAACTGTGTGTATTTCATGAATGATAACTAAGTCACAACTGCATAAATAGATTCTTTGAGATAATTAATGCTCTCATTTACAGATCTGACACATTTGCAATTAGATTAAGAGCAGGATTAGAAAGGATTTGTTAAAACACTCTCCTTTACTGTGAGTGAACATTTAGGCACCTCTGTTTTCTGGAAGAGCCAAATGGGGATTTATGAGGTTTWTTTTCATACTGTAAATGACTAATCAGGCAGCACAGCAAAGCATTATTTTATTTTGCTGACCTTAGGCCATATGCTTAACACAACTCAAATATTTYCTTAAGTAAAAATTGCCCCCAAAAAATCAAACATGCCATTTAATTGAAAAAAAGCTTTCTATGCAAGTACAAAACCCCTGGGAAGGAAGCTATGACCTCTAGTGCAAAAGCAAATACTAACAGCGACAAAGGAAGGGGATAATGTGATGCACACTGAATCAATCTCTGGGCTCAGATTCTAATCCTGAAAATGCAAAATTTTATTTGAGGGAGAAGCTTTTTAGTCAATCTGTTACAACAACTGATCTGCTGGTTTGGATTCATCTTTCTCTCACAAGTACACAGTAACTGCTTGAGTTAAAAAGTTTAGCTTCACTTTCTTTTTTTTTGTTTAAAGACTAACTGCAGAAAACAAAATTAATGGCATACAGACCTGGTTTCCCCCAGCATTATGACATTCATAAACTCCAACAACACCATCTGCAAAATGGCCCAAAGTGTCAAGGCAATTGGTACCCTGCTGCAAAGCCCCAAAGGCTATATCTTGATGATCAGGTACCCTAAAACAAAACCAGAAATCTGATTAATACAGTTTTGGGGTTTGCTTGGGAGGATTTTTTCAGTATTTTTTAAACTCCTTGTTTTCACTCAGAGTATTTTTAAGGTGGTATGTTAAGGATGAGTGATGACTATCAACTGGAAATCTCAATCATYCTTTGAGGGGAGGCAATAATCTAATCATTAATTGATCAAACATGAATAAACTTGCAAGCTTACCACACTATCAGAAGACTTGTATCACAGAAGGAGGATGAACACATAAACTCAGTACAAGAATCAAATTAAAGGTGACTTATCACTTAGAGTGATCACTTAGAGTGACTCAAAGCTTAATGCTATCAGTTAGATCACTAGGTATTTCTGTCTTTTCAGGCAATATAGCTTGTAGAAGAAATAGGACATGCTACATTTTTCTCAGACTGTTTTTACTGAAATGTTAAAAAAGGGGTTAGGAACTGGAAAAAAAAAATCAAAGCTCCTTCTGATGTCTGTTTTTTAAAGGCTGAACATAAAGTACACTGCTAGCATGGAAACACCTAGGCAAACCCATTCAGCAAAGTACAGTTGAGGGTGGAGCCCATGAGTTCACGTCAAACAGTAAAACAAGGGCATATCAGAGCCTTTAAAATATTCAGACTATAATATGAACATTAATAATTCAARCCAGCAGAATGAGCACATGAGGGATGACAAAGACAACATTACAYGTAAGTAAGGCTTATGGTAGAACATTTTCCAGGAGAGACACTTTTTTTTCTGACAATTTAAACAAAACCAAATCTCCTCTGGCACTTTTAAGAGAAAATAAAAGAAAACTTACTTCCTCGGTATGACCCTGGTTTATGAGATTGATTAGTATGTGTGGTTCTGTACATGTTGCAGTGGGGCGGAAATAGCTGGTGGTGCTTTTGCATCTCAAGGCTGTACATCACCAGCAATTACCTGGCTGACATGAAGTCCCCAGGAAAAAAACCTCAGGTATTCCTACAAGCTACACACAGTATCTTACACCATTATACTGCCAATATTAGGTTGACAGACTAGTCAGACTAGTTTATGGGCTCARATCTGATCAACACACTTATTAATCGGTTATTTAATCAAAATCTTTCTATCCTTTCAAAAGGTGYTTCTCCTCAAGGATTTTTCATTAATTAGGATGCTTTCATGTTACAGAAACTGTTAGGTGTTATCCTTCACTTCCCTCTTCTCAGCCCTGCCTGAAAGTCAGAGATTATCCAGTGACAAGAGAAAAGGAGACAAGAAGGACAAGACTCAGCTTCAGTCTTAGGCTTCTACCCTTGTCTGCCACACATAGAGGGCCCTCTTGTCTGCTGACTGTCATCGCTCGTACCACGATGACACGATTCAGTCTCCTCACTTAACTAAGCATGCCCATAGGCAAAGGCAAAAGCCTTTAAAAGGATGGCAACAGGATACAGAATATGTGCTTTTGAGCAAACGGTTTGTGTAGGAGACTAACTTCAGCCTCAGGTAAGTTGAGTCCTTTGGACACTGTTCCCCAAAATACTGCAGCTGTAGCTGCAGTAAGCAGAAAAAAAAAAAAAAAAGCAGCTAACTAGACAAAAATTACTCTTTAGGAACAGAACTAATAAAAAAAAGCAAATAAAACTGCATGAGGCATTACATTCATGGATAAAGTAAAACCCACCCTTTACATCCAAGGATGGAGAAAAAGAAACCAGTGATTTCTGGAGAGGGCAACAAAAAAACTCCATATGAACTCTGTTTCAGCCAAAACTCACCGTAACTCAGGATAAACATTTTCAAGATACCACTTAAAGGGTTTGCAGCTAAGTCTCTTTCTGAGTTCCATTCGGCTTTGAATACTAAAGGAGAAAAAGAAGGAGTTTTCAAAGTCAGGCTGTTGTCTTCATATATTTTATGGAATAAACAGAAAACTCAATAATGGTAGAACTGCAGAAATATACCTTAAAAAAGACAACATGAGATTTAGCACTACTTTCACCTCAGAAGGTGCTTTCTCATGAAGAATAAATAAATAAGGCAAGGAAGCACTTGTGACTTACTTGCCATAAGGTACATTCCTGGCTGAAGGCACTGCTGCGTAATAGAAGTTTTTATACTCATCCATCCAGACTTCTGCTGCCCTGCGTGTATTTCTAGGGACAATTATATGAAACACATGGGTTACATTTTCTGTAGGTGCAATTAAACCATGCAATTTTTGCTCAGGTTGATTTTAATCCTTCCCAGTACCACACAGCCAGCTGCCTCAGGCAGGCAGAAGAGTCCCCATAAAAGACCCAAGTAATAGAAAACCATTAGAGAATAACATAACTGAAATAAACATTTATAATGAAATTTATGTCTTTTCCACACTCATCACTGCTTCAGGTTTTCATCCAGAAATTAATACACATCTTACAGTTCTTTCTAAAAATGTCATGGAATTTACTAGATTAATGTTTGGCTGATCTTTTTATAAGAGTGATTTGACAAGACAAGTTCAGTGAGTGTTCACCTAGATAAAGCAAGGTAATTGGAAACACAAAAATCTCAACAACTGGCAGTATTTAACAGAAACTGCCTTTTACACTTCTGAAAACAGATATGCTAACACAGGCAAGACATATTTTCAGTCTTCACCCTACTCCTACCAGTACAGCATTCAAAGTTGCAAAAAGATGTAAGGCATCATGTTAAGGCTATGAACCAAACAAGTCTTCTGTAGCTGAGGTAAGAGGAAAAGCAGCAATCAGAAAATGTTTAAAATGTTTTAAAATTTGAGAGAGAGAAATTACTGTAATAAATGTGAAAAAACCACTAACCCAAATGTTTTACTTCTAATCAAACACAACTCCAACTAAAATTCCTCCATTTATGTAATTGGTGTCTTTAAATATTCTTTTGGACTGCAAGAGGGTCCAATGGCTTTTTCCCTCTCCTGGCTTCCACATAAAACTCATTTACTTCTATTGCTCATAATTTCGCACTTAGAAAATTAAGTCTTATTTCACTTGGAACTGCCATGCTCTGAAGCTTATTTGGCAGAAAGTTCATCTGAAGCAACTGGAGTAAACTCAGTCAGCCAGTAACTTCTTTAATATGATTTTTCAATTCAAAAACCAAAAATAGTCAGGATAAAGTGAGAAGTCTTGCAGGTTGCTGAGAAAAAAAGGTGTGGGGAATAAAAATGTCACAAGACAGAACCGAATAATTTTTTTGTTTGAGAACCAATTTTTTTCTTGCAAAAATTCCTTCTTTTTTTTAAAGTAAAATCCCACTCAATTCAGATTAGAAGCCATGTGAGTGTGTCTTCACTTGCAGTCCCTGAGGCCTGTGAGAGTGTCATTCACTCTTGTCTGCTCAGCAACCAGYCTGGCTGCCCATAGCCCATAGAGATTTGTGGTGGGAGACGAACTACTTGGTTTGCCAGGGTTTGATAACTCCAAAGGCACTTTCAAGGCCAGAATGCCTGCCTGCATCCCACCACCCCATGCTCAGGGATGAACAGCTCAGGCTTAGTGTGACATTAATATGGGCACTGCGGAGATACTGAGAACTGCCTGAGCTAGCAAGGCCCCAAAGAACTCAGGGTGCTGAGGAACACAGCATAGGGTGCACTTAATGCTAAGGCAATTAATGAAACTGAGCAATGAGTAATCAGAGGCTGCTTTGCTCAGAGCAGACTCGGGGCTGCAAGACACAGTGGCTCATTGGAAGTGCTCTGTGAAGGCAGAGTGTGCTGATCTAACAAATCCTGCTGGACACAAGCTGTACCTGCCCACATCACTTAGCCAGGATGTGGTGATGTCATCTTCCCTCTCATGAAACAGGACTCCCAGCCTCTCACCCAAAATTACCAATCTGTTTGGGCTGCCAAAAGGCAATGTATACTGACCAGCCAGCTAAAAATACAGCCATCCAGAACAAACTGCCTATAGCCAAGGGACAGGCAATGGCGTAAGCCAACACGTCCCAGCTGCAAGATCAGCACAGATTCCATGCACCAAGTTTCTTGGCACCATGGTCTCACACATACCTGTATYACAAGGATATCCTATCACCTAAGGTTTCTCATTTTCTCATTGCTAAAATTGAGTTTAAGGCATTCCATTATACTGGTTTGACATCCAAGAAAGCTACTTRCAGCACAAGAAAAGCAGCATCTTGGCAACAGCCCAAACTGCTCAGTATATTCATATATTTATTCTGTTCTATTAACCACACTCCTTGTTATGACACTGTCATTTCAAATCTCATTAAACTAAACCAATTGCATCCTAAGCTTACATAATGCAGTTTAAAAGATGAATCTTTCTACCCACCTGATGTACACTATAAAGGCTGGAACAGAGATGTGATGTATTGCGGGTATTTCATTGCTAGCTTTTGTCTTCCCGCAAATACTATTATTCATTTTTCACTGCAGCATAAAATACTGATCTCAAATGGGGAAAAAGAAGAAAAATACTACTGTGCCAACTATAACTATTGAAAGGAAGAGGATAGTGACTTTATTTTAACAGACTATTAAATTCATTGAAGTCACCTTGGTGGCATAAACATCATGGAAGGAAAGAACTACACCCTAAGGAGATTTCTCAGTCTAAAGTGATTCAAGTCCAAAAATATCAGCAGCTTAGAAGATTCTTATGAATTTAACTTCGTCTGCACACTCTGTGTTGCTTCATGTTAAACAGAGTTTGGGCTCCACGTCCCTTCAAGGGTAAATAAATAATCTTATTTCCAGTTCTTAGCCCACAGAACCTTTAGCTGAGACTTTTACTTCTTCAGCCCTCTGAGCATTAAGTCCAATTCCCTAAACCAAAATGTACAGTGATTCTTCACCTACAACTGATATAGCCTTGATCAAAATGCCCTTGGTACATTCACTCAGTACTTTTATCCATATTAAGTAAAAACCACTAGGAACATGAATCAGCACTGTTGTTCTCACTTTATAGAAGAGAAACTGAAGAGACAGCTCAGTATTTCAGTTACTGCTGTGCACGGGTATCAACAGCATAATTAACAGGCATATTAATCTAAGCCCTTAGAACTGATGTTTSTTAGATCAGTAGAAAATGTATTTTTAAACATAGCACAGGAAAGGCAAATGTCAAAAAGAACCAAGTTGCCAACAGACTGGCATAAATACTGAAATCAGTCTCTGTAATCACTTGTATCTCATGTGTTGATCATGTATTAACAAAAAGCAAGCAAAGCATATTCATAACTTAGTRCATTCTGGCTCTTGGTGAACAATGAAACTCTTTCTGTAAAATAAAGTTTTATAATACCATTCTGAAAATAAAGCCATCTTTAAAATAAAAAAACACCCATAATATTGGTAAAATGACAAGCTAAGCATTTCTTTATTCTCCAGATTCTTGGTCTCTGTCTACCAGAAGTTTCCCTCTTTCAATTCTCAGGTTCTTCTCTAAATCTACATAGCTGACTCAAAGTCATTARTTTTTTCTTAATTAATATTTTACCATGATAGATAATATTGCAGTATTTCTAAAGATGAGATCCCTAAAATGTAATTACTGCCACCTGCTGATCATCTGAGGAAAACCCAAATGATTGCTGTTTAGCAGTTACCTGGCAAACACAGTACCACTCCCACCGGGAAATGTGTAAGGATGCTGCTTGCGGAATACATGACCCACTCTGCTGCAAGGGATGATTTCTAGGCTCCCACCACATTGCCAAACTCTGAATGAGATCTCTGAAATACAAACAGGAATGAAAGACCAACACCATAAAACACTGTTACTTTGTATTATATTTACAGAGAAGGCTTTTAGTGACTGTTGCTGAGAAGATGAGCAAGACAGGTTTGTTTTTTTTAATTAATTCTAGGACAAACAAAGGCTTATCTAAGCATTTAAGATTCTGCAAGCTCAGCATAAATAAACATACTATCTTAGAAGCAAAACTGTATCTTCTCTTATCTGAAGTCAACAGCGTTGTCCAAGTCCATAAGCCATGCTGCAATTTGCCCAGTGAGTTAGGTGTATGTGTGCTATTACTGTGCTTCATCTGAAGGGTAAACAACAATAGGTACACTCAACAAATAAATTAATGATCTAGTTTATTACAAAATTTTTCAGCTGAAGATGGAGTAGCACAGTGAAATCAAGGCAAACTAAAATAATCAATAGATTTGAGCTGCTAACTTATTGTAGCAGATAAACACTCCAAAACATCGGAGTCCTTGCTGACTTGAGGATAAACCAAATAAAAACATAACTTCTGTAAATTGCAGATTATGGGCAGAACACTTCCAAGCCAGTCTAATGATCTGAGCCAGCTAATGATGATAAGAAGGTCTAGAAATATTTAGACACTTTTCTCAACTTTGTCTTGACTGCATGTCCAGAGAAATTTTAAAAATAAAGAGGTGCTGTGATTTTAACTGTTGACAACGCAAGTTAACTGCCTTACTTCTTGATTGCCATATTTATGAATCCTTGACAGTCAGCATAGTTCAAAAACATGAATGACAATATTGTCTTTGACAGTAACTTAAACAGTTGAATTTACATGGGACAATAGGCAAAACTAATTTTTCATTTTTGTGTACTTTCCAGCACCTTCGATTGTGAAGAATCTCAAAAAAAGTGACCACCATGTAAAACAGTTCAATGGGAAAGACAGCAAATGACTAAAATATAGGGAGAAGTAAATTAATTTTTATTTGCACTGACATGGCTTCTAAAGCCTGCATGGAAAAAGAAAAAAGAACATACAGCAAAGAAAACTCTAAGCAACCCCACAAACTCCCTTCGGGATTTCTTTTGTTATACTCAAACAGTAGTAGAAGAAATGTTACTACTGTACCAACCTCAATGCACATAGCTTTTTAATGAAAAACACATAAGCAGCATGTCAAAAATTCTTTATGAGATCAAGTTACACCTCTCTAACAGATTTGTTCTTTTTATTGGAGTGTGTCATGAATCCAGAAGACAWGGGATGTCTTGTTCCTTCCCTGATTTTAGGAAAATTAGTAAGAAAAGCTTAGGTTTTCAAATTAGACCTGAGCCTTCCCATGGTCCACCCAGTTCTCTGGTGTACTCTGATTCTCCTAAGCTCATCAAAAAGCATCATAAACAAACTGAAAATTTGAGTTTCTGAGTTGGAGACAAGACTGAACTAACCTTGCTCCACATTTTGTACAGCACACACATGTTACCAATCACATTTAGCAACAGTCTGAGAATGTACCTATCTTCATGGTAATTTGTGCAATTTAGGGAAAATCCTGCAGGTTCATCTTGAAATTTGTTAAATTGATACTGACATGTGAACAAAACCTCATATTACAGCTGCTCTGTACATTCTTGAAGGAACAATGCTAGCTTTTAGAAAATGAATATGATGTGCAGAATTATTTTGCTAGTCCGTTTAGCAGGTTATTTGCATGTAACATCAAGCCACTGATCTAGAGATACACTTGAGAGTAAAGAGGCCTGACAAATGTGCACATTGAATTTTAAATTGCACATCACAGATTTCTGGTTATCTGGTCCCTGTGTCATTTATCGCCAATTAAATCATTTGCCATAGGATTTTTACTCATCTTCAATTAGCCTGACAGCTAGGAAAAAATCATTAGCTGCCTTCTGCCTGCTTTTCAGGCACCCATAAGTCTCCATCTTCTTGCCATGGAGGTGGAGAAACTGAGTGCAGAAGGCGCAAGATTAACATCTCTTTGCACGCTTGAGAAAGGAGATGTTGCTTGTGCCCTTTCCCGGCTACCAAGGCCTCAATTATCAAAGCATAAAAGTAGTTGCTAAGTGTTCAGAAGAAACTCGGTTGCTCAAGTACCTGCTTGTAACTAATCAAATATTTAACTGCTCCAGTGGAAAAAGTGGTTTTCAGAGTGAATAYGAGTATTGCTGCATTAAATTTATCCAATGACTTTCCAGAACATTTAAAAATGAAAAATTACAATGTTTACATTAATACAATTTATCAATACACAGCCAAAATAGGGAGACAACAGAAACATGGAATGCAATTGCTCAAACACCCGAAGGGTTTCTTCAAGTACTACACAGGATGGTCAGAGACAGGACTAGAGGGATGCCAATTCCAACTTTTCAGTGCGTTACAGCAGCGTTAAACACTCGGTTACCATGTCCCATACTCAGTGTGCTGCATCCAGCACACATTTCCTGGTAGGCTAAGCACATGTTTGATGCATGTGCAGGTTTCAGTAACTCAAAATATTCATGGGTTTTTACAAGTTCAAGGTATTTCAGCATTTTGCAGCTAGCACATGCAGTAGAGAAGCTTCTGTCTTTAGCAGTGCTCCTAATACACACTGCTTTTGTAGTATAGAATGTCCAAGATGCACCTCTACCCGAAAAAACTAAACTAATGACTGGAATTCTTGAAAAGCTGTAGAATTCTGCCACTTCCAAATCTTTTTTGTTTGAGCACAAGTACACTGGTTTTAAAGAGAGAAAACACTTGTATAATACTGTAATGCAAACAGACAAAAAGACCTCCTAATGCCAGATTTAATCACCAGGTCAAATGAAAAGTGGCTAATGCACAAGCTCTCTCAGCCCCTCCTCCCTCTTGCCTAAATGTCACTCAAACATCTGAAAATAAGGACTTAGAGAAAAAAATGTTTTCTCAACCAGCAATATCTCATAGGGCTAAAGAAGGGGTATAAAATTACAAAATTCAGTAAGTTTATATGCCAGGTGGCATATTACTGGCAAAGTTCAGAAACAGGTAATTCTTCAGTCAGCTAAGTTAATTGATTTATTAAGGTGTGTGTAATAACATTACACTCATTCACCGGTGTTCCACTTTTCATAATTAAATTTAAGTAACACCTTAAAAACATGTCTTCAATTCTCAGCACTTAAATATTATTATATTTAACAATTTTAGATGGTGCTGTGGCTTTCRAAAAAGATAGCACTTTTGAAACTGATTTTTTTATCTACAGCCTGTCTTTTTTTACCAACCAACTTCCATTATAAAAAAATTTCACTGCTCAATGAACTAATACTTTTATTCCCTCATACTCAGCATATAATTTTTAATTTGTTACAATTCTTTCATTGAAATAAATGTTTTGGATTCTGCCAATAATGTGTGTGAAATTTTAACTCCGGTTTTAACCTTCTTTGCACAAAATCAGGGAAACCACGATTCCTTGACAGTAAAGGCAATGATGAAACCTGCTTTTTTTTTCAAGGCCTGATTGGAAGGTAAATAATATACATACCTAAGTTCTCTCCACCCCAAACATCCATCATCATGTCATACTTCCCTAGTTCTTCAAAATAGGATTTGTCCATCACAAATAATCCACCAGCTATCATGGGTGTCCTAAACAAACAAGAAAAATGTAATACTTACAGAACAATCAACTTGGTGTTACTATTATTTGCACATCAAGGTTAATACTTCCTTGAAAAAAACTGGCAATGCTTTTGAATGCAATTTACTTTGCATCTAACACTTCAAATGTTGTTTGCACACATTTCTATGGCATATACAGTGCCATGACCACCTTCTGAGGCAGCTTCCAAATCTTCATTTGCYCCACAAGTTCCTTATTTAAAGGGTGGCAATTTGTGTCACTAATAAAACATTAAAACAGGCGCAGTATTTTTGGCCCTCAAAATATACAAACTTTAAACAAAGTGACAACTACTTTTTCTTAAGGGTAAATAATCTAATAGCGTGTTTTAAACTATTTTTTAAATACAGTTTATTTCTAAGAGTTTCATAATGATCCATAAATATGAATGAAATTTCAATATTGATGTAAGCTACAGTAAAGTTATTCTTTCAGACTCAAAAGAAATGATTACTAACTTAGGTTAGCTGCAAATTAAAATCTACTTGAAAAGTGGTGGTAGAGACATACTTTATGGGAGCAACTGGATTTCCTTGTCGTGCTCTTCTTTGCTCTGGTGTCATGTAATCCCACTTGAACACAAGGTTCCAGTCAAAGCCTTCAAGAAGAAAAGTAGGGTGTTAAAATTACTGTGGTCATCATTCAACTTGTAGTAACAGAATGTTCAGTAACACACTGTAATTTAAATTAAAAAATTAAACTTGCAGAAAATTCTGGGTAGAAAACAAACAAGTAAAAGTCCAGATGAAAGGTAAAGAAAAATGAATAATCTTGAACACCAAATAACTTTGTATTTCTCTTGTCTTTATCTGTTTCACAAAGTAAGAAACACAAGTGTCATCCTTACATCAAATAGAAAACACCATGTGATGATCTTCCAGCCATTACAAATGCTCCCAACAATCTTTTCTAAATAACTGCATTTCCACACTTTAGAAGTGATCACTCTTGGTCTATTTATGTTTACACAGGCTTTATGCAGCACTCTTGGTGGTACTCTGACAGCAAGGGCTCTGTCATGAAGGTCACAACAAGTTATGAAGGTCCCACTTATCTCCTTAACATTCATTTAAATRTCTTACTTTCCCACTGTGTTTTCAAGTGCGTCATTTTTTAAACCTGGGGTAAAGTGCTAGAGCACAAAAATTTTACTTTCCTTATGCATATACATGTAAGTGTAAACACAGCAACAACTGCTCTGGGCCTGTCATGAGTTAAGCACAGAAGCACAAAGATCACTAGAATGAACAAGATCAGTAGGTCATCTATGGCAGCTTTCTACACAACATTTGCTAAATTACCTCACTTAGGCAATGATACAGTGCTGGTATAGGACAAACTTTCAATAGGAAATACTTCCATAACAGTTTTTGTGCTGGATTATGCCCATAATCATGAATATCCCTTAAAAAACTGCACAAGGCCTATAGCCCTCTCCCAGTACATCTAGCAAATCAGACTTATACACTCTGCCTGCTGCCAAACACATTTAGATCCTATGAAGTCATGTAATGAATGATTTCCAGATTTCTGCTGCACAGATGTCAATAGTTTTCATTCTCCAGTATAAAGATAAAGTAATTACTTTGTGAGGAAAATAGCTCAAGTGAACAGACAACAATTACAGTCCTACAAACTGCCTGTCTGCATCTGTAAAGGAGMACAGCAATGACTGATGTAGGAAGTTAAAAACTCCGCCGTTTTCATTTTAATTCTCGAGATACTTAATCACACACAATGCAGAAATTACCCTGAACAGTCTTTACAGCATGCATGCCAACTCCTTCTCTCCATGTTTGAGTATTTCAAGAAAGYGCTGCACTGTAAAAATGAGACTGCCTAACTATTCCAAAACTCCAAGTAGCAAAACAGTAAAATGGCTACAACCTATAGTACTGCAAAGCCTCAAGCATGAAGACCAAAATGAGTTCCAATATTTCCATGCAGTAAAAAAGCCACACTTCATCCTAGATTGCCAGCAAAATTATTTGCATCTGGAAGAAGTTGAAAAACCCACTGTTCTGCAGCAGAAGGGATAGAGACAGTTACTGTGTACGCCAGTGAACACAAGGGGTCTCTTTTGGAACACAGCACTCTCACAAACAGAACACGTGTATAAATTCTCTACCCATTCAAATCTGGTTTTCCGTCTCCATTTTCACAGACTCTGGGAAAAAGCTGCACTCAATGAGATAGTATCAGTAACTCTGTAGAAGGAGTATTTTTAAACACAGCATGTATCCAGTACGAAATTCTATCCAGTGTAAACTGCATCAGAGGCATACTATAAATCATTAGAGCTCAATTAACTACAGTTCATTCCAGTAATTACAGTGTTTCTCTGGGTGGCAAAATCACTTTTGCAAACCCCCCTCCTTCAGAAAACCCCCCAGAAAATCTGTTAACATGAAGTGCACAGATTTTATTCTGGCTAGACTTGGGAATTACTTCAGACGTGTCCATCTAGGAAAAAAAAARTATGTACCATTTGCTAGGTTGCCTGTCTTGGGTGATTAAGTCCTTTCAAAAGGGACCAGGCACAAATGCTGTCCCAGCTGTTTCAAGTCTCCATGCTTCAGCCACACTGTACCTAAGGTTGAAAGCATAGCTTGGTTTCCATGTTTAGACTTGGACCCAGTCAAAGTGTCCTGTGGTGCCAAATGCTGTAGTGCCTCTAACATTGCAATCTGTCCTCTGGGAAGTGACAAGAAATATATTATTCATGTTTCAACTGAACCTCAAATAGCTTGGCACACTGGTATGTGCAAAATTTCTATTAACGTGAAAAAAAGACAGTTTCTCACTGCTCAATCCAAATATGGAGGCTTCATGAACCTTAAAAAAACCCAATCTCTATTGTTTACAAAGGGAGAAAATGAGTACTAAAATGTAATAGAGAAGTGAATTAATTGGGAAACAGTTTCAAAGATAAAGCATGAAGATCTCCCACTTCACTTGGGAAGAACTGAGCGTTGAGCCCAGCAGCAATCAAAGGTTCCAAGGAAAGAATTCTTCCTCCTTCTCCTGCAGACAATAATAAAAGCCACATAATGGTACAGGGATTTCTGTAGTCGAGATTAATGAATAGAYTGGGCAAAGGCCTTAAGGTTTAATAATGTTGGCACACAGACTRGCACAGACCTATACACTGGCATACTGTGAATATATGCACCATAGGTGTCATTTCAAAACATTAATTAAAAGGATACAGAACCTCTCACCTCCAGATAACTGATGATTGTAGCATATGCAATGTTATGCAAATACTGCTTTTATTTTCGTTTACTAAAACCTTGCTGGCCAGTTAGAGACTGGAACCTAAAAGAATAGCCTTGAAACTGTTTTTTCCTTCCTCATGCAAGAAAGTCTATTCAGAAAAAGATGGGACACTGTGACAACAGCACTCTAATTTTTATATCATGGCTCATCTTACACCTTTATGCAGACAGTTCAGTTTCCAGGGTTGTGGGAACAATTACTTACAAATAATAAAAAAATGGGGCAAGTGGGTAGAAAATAGCTGTTTTGAATATTAGATTCTTGTTAGCAGTGCCAGAAGTTTTAAAAATCCGCAATAGGTAAGGACTTTAGCATGTAGTTGTTGTTCTTTGAAAAAGGAGAGAAGATTTTTAAAAAATATTCTTATTTAGGGCTTCACAAGTCTTTTTGCTATTTGCTGTCAATACTTTAGATTACCTAGACATATTGAAACCGTACAACTTCTCAATTTAACAGGGGATTTTTTTGGTCACAAATTTTCATGGTCACATGTGAACCTCTTCACAGTTACAGATCATAGCTAATAAACATTTATTTTTTTAAACACATTCCAAAGTCGCCTTCTTGTTCAGAAGAGTTTCAATTTTTAAGCAAACCAGCATCTTGAAAAAACCTCATAGACACTGCATTGTTGATGGGCTTCTAAACTAGTGAGCAATTAAAGCCTGTGTTATCTAAAAAGAGAATCATAAGCTCTGGCTATTAGTTTTTTCTGATATATTTACACAACCCTACAAACCTTGGAGCAAGTCTTGCATATTGGTAAAAGGCAGCACAAACTYAGAAGAATTAGTATAATAAAGATGAATTTTTAATGCAGAGAAYGATAAGGCCAATTAAAAATCCAAGCCAAGAAACAAGTGACCTACAGAACTTGAAACTAGATCTATGAAAGGAAAGAACTGTATGTTAATTGCCCATTCCACAGCTGCAGTGATTATGAGCTTCGATTCTTGATGGGTTTTTTAAAAATCTGTATTCCAGTACAGGTACATACCGCCTTTCAAATCAGCTGACGCCCCCACGTACTGGAAGTTGTCCATATTAATTACATCAATAATAGGAGACACAACTCTGGTCTTGTCCTAAAATAAATGTTAGAAAGTAATATTGAAATAATGAAATCAATATATAAAGGTTCAGGCAGGATGTCGAACAGTTCAGCAGAGTGTTCAGCAGGATATCTCCCCAGCTCTCCCCTTACTTCCACTCATGSCTCTGAAGAGCCAGTGCTGCGAATAGCACTGCTCAGAACTGCTTCAGAGAGCAGAAACCATAGGATATGACTGGAAATCCTCTTTCTATTCTAGGCTACTTTTTTTCACATAATCCCCCTCTTCTGACTTGTTCTTAAAGAAGGCAGCAAACCTGTGGTTCTAAAGGTAGTCAAGCAAAAAGCCCTTCCATTCTTACTTTTCAAACCAACACATAGAAAAGAAGCACCTAGRCAATTCACATTTTCGACAGAAGCCTCCAGCCATGCAGTGTACTACAGTCTCATTATTTCAACCTCTAAGGGACACTTAGGCCTTTCTGTAATCAGAAAAGTTTTAGGTTAATGCCAATCCATTTCACATTAGATTCATACTTCAATAACAGACACTCAGATAGGAAAGAGAAGCTAAAAAGCACCTCAGATTCATGAATGCTATTAATCTCCAGCAGCCAAGATTCCAGTGGTCCAGGTAACCGCAGTCCTCTATCCAACTGTGGCCCCGTATACTATTCTGAGCAACATTAATTATTTTAGCTGATGTTTTTGCCAAAATAGTTTAAGAAGAAAAATCTTTCCAACAACTCCACATGCACCATCCAGTAGAATCATAAGACCTAAAGTATTCTAAAAACAGACTCAGCTAATGTTAGAAATGCAGTATCATGGTTAAGCCAGTTTGTCTCCATTACTTATTGCTTGCAAAAGTTTTGAGCTGCACAGTTTAACATCATTCAGAAAACAGATAACTTCAGAAAAGTGTATCACCAAATCTGTGGATATAAAAAACAAACAGGAGATACTTTGGTAGCTCTTATTATAAAGAAACTGTTCTCACAGTTAAAAAAAAATATATAACCTAAGTATCTCCATTTTAAGAATTTATTTTACAAATAACAATATCACATATTTTTAAACAGTGGTTCAGCACTGTATCCTCCTTGCTAATCAGTATTATACAGAATACTGATGGGAACCAAATTAGTATAAGACTAGCTTGAGCTCATAAGAAGAGTCTTAAAAGCAACTCTTAGTCAAATGCTTTGCTTGGTCCAATAAGAACCTTTAACACCCATTTTCTTTTATTGAACCTCAACTATTCAATCTATGCTGATTATAATAAGTCCTAATTACATAAATGGCATTTACTCGGTCATTCTGTCTGYGTGAGCAAAAGGTCACGAACTTCTGTATCATCCAAAAGTAGAATCCAAGCAAACCCAAGAGAATTCAAGCTGAAAACTAAACTAAAAGCTGAAGACATATGGCTTTCTATATTCCCTTTAAGTATCACTGAAGCTATGCCACCCAGGCCAAAAATCTGCTTTTATGAGAGAAGTAATATAACATATAACCTGGTCTGCTTCTCAGCATTAATTAGTTTTGTGTAAAGCAAACTAGAAACACAAAACAAAAAAGACCGACCTGTCATATTCCCCCACTGATCACATCTTTAGCTGCTGTGCTGCTAGTGGTAGCCTCCAGCCCACATTTGCAACAGCAAGCAAAGCACCATTTTGCTAACTGTGTTGTACTTGAGAGGCAATGATTATTTACTGCACCATCACTGCAAAGTACTCTGTGTGTGTGTACCTTCCTACATCACTGAAATGCTTTAGATGTACCCCTGCCCTTATTTCAGGCATACTATAGTGGTAGAATTAGGAAACTCCCTTAAATAAGGACTGATGAGACAGAAAATATTCAGCCTATCTAGTTATTCACAGGACACCTATAAGCATATGTCCCGTCCCGCTTGAAAAGAYGGAGTCGGGGAGAATTCTTTTAATAATTCTTCTGGACAAAAAATAAAGCRCAAACACGGCAATATTATATCTGAGAACTATTTATTGATAAAGAAGGGTAAATGTTCCTACCACTTCCTACCAAGGGGAGATAGAAAWGGGAACAAAGAGGGAAAAAGAGAAACGGAGAGAGACAGAATAGCAGACAGATTGTTACCGCTGTACCCCGGGCACCCCATCGACGTCAGTTTGGAAGAAGGAGCGTGTGTGCTGCGAACCGCAAGGAGCCTGCGCGRCTCCCGGGACAGGCTGGGCGCGATTTCCAAACAGCAGCGGCTGCGTGTCCCTACCATTGGCGAAGAACACGTCGCCGTGGCTACGGGCACACTCATGAGATAGCTGCAGCTGCTGTGGGCAGGCTGGGGCTGTGGGCAGGCTGGCTGCTGTGGGCTGCTGCGGGACCCACGACAGTGGCTGCTGCAGGTGGTGGCTCCTTCGGGAAGACAGCAAACATGAGGTTGTCGCAGGGTCGAGCTGCCTCGGGGAAGCGGCGAAACAGAGCACACGGGCAGGACAGGTGTGGACAGGGAAGGCAGGACCACAGGGAGAAAAGGAAAAGCAAGGGAGCAGTGGGAGGCCCAGGTGACCCTCCAGGCGGGTCCCTGCTCCTTCCAAGAACTCCAAAGGAAGATGGGCCCCGCTGTGCCTCGCCCTCCTATTTCCCACGCATTTTTATTCCGCGTGCTGTTTTCCYGGGCATCCGGGCATCTGCCCCACCAGCAAGGCCAGGCAGGGCTCTTGCAGAGCAGTAGGGGAGGCTGTCTGTGCCATGACTGGCTGCCAGGCAAAACCTCCTGAGGGACAGAGCTCTCAGCACATAACACATGTTGAGGCATAAATAAAAATCAGATTCRTCTCTCTCAGCATAAAATACAAAAATTAAAACACCCTTCTTTTTCTCATTTATTCCTTAGCTGAAACTGAGACATCTTATACATCTATGGCCATCTCTAAAAGCATTTTATGACAAATGTGATAAACACATATTATAGTGCTGGCTTTCGCAGAGATTAAAAAAGGGATGCTATGTATGGTGCATCATAATATGATATTGTCTTATTTGTAAAAGAAGTTTAGTTATGTGAACATGATTATGAAATAACTACTGTTCTTATTYTTTTGTAATTTAGATGTAGTTATGAGACACTTTCCAAATACTGTAGAAATTTTTCCATGTAGGATTTTTCCTTGCACATTATAGCAAAACTATACAAAAAGTCGCAGGGAGATGAATGGTGCCCTGGCTGCAATTACACTGACCAAAAGATAAGACAAGGAGAAAGAAATGCATGAGAAAAAGACCTCCAMGGAACCYGACCTACCAGAGGAATGCCATGATAGTTGCTTTGGTATGCATATTAGAAAAATATCTTGTCGGAGTACCCTGTAAAGCATCTATAGTTTGCGGCACAAGGAGTCTGGCTGGCGAGAACACCAACCTTCGGATGGACTTAGCTGCATGGAAAGGTCAGGCGTGTTGGGACCCCTGTTATAAACACTTCTCTATTGACAAGGACTATCTGCTGAAGTTCTGAAATAGGGGTCACACAAACTCCAGGAGCATAAAACAACAAGAATGTTAAAAAGATGATCCATGACAGATTTAAATATGCATAAATGTCTATGAATAGGCATTAGGCTGATGTAACACGGAATGTATTTAAAGAGGTTTCTATCCATACCCGGTGTGCCTCTGGCAAATAGCCAAGCACCCGGTGCCGTATGCTTTTGCTTTTATGTACCCTATTGTCATTTATWAAAACCTTTTAAATTTCACCAGAAGAGTGAACTTCGTTTCTCACAAAGATTTGATTTTTTCAAACAGTTCTACTTGGCAAAGTTGAACCTGGTGGTAAAAGCTGCCCAAGTTATCAGGGTCACATGAGGCAGAGCTTCATTTAGGTTTTCAGCTTATCTTGACCRAGCCACATAAAGCAGGTAGCATGTTGTCTATACACATTCGAGATTTCCTCAGGCATTTACTGCTGGTCTGATTATTTCCATCAATATCAGTGTGACACCACATTTAACACCACTTGCTACATCTAACATATTATTTAAACAATTCCAACTGTTTTTTGGACAGCCAAATACACAGGCCAGGTCATGGGCATTCAGTCTGATGTATAACCTCCACACAGTTGGCTTGAAAATGTGCTGTTCCTTCCGTGACTTGAAATTACAGGATTTGCTCAGCAGCAAAGCAAAAAAAAGAGATTTGTACATTCTTAAGGCGATGCTTTGCGGAGCATTAAAAAGTTGTTAATGCAGAGCCTGCTAAAAAAGAGCTTGTGGGTCTCCAAATTACAGWGTTCGTTCATTGAAAAGACTACAAAGCAGTAGATGGCTTTAATCAGGGATAAATAAGTGCCTTGCTTTAGGATAATTTAACATACAAAATCTCCTGCCTTCTAATGGAAGGCTCAACTGGAAAACCATGTACTTCTTGGTGAAGATAATGAAAAGAAACAGCCTATGAACACTGCAAATCTCTAGTGCCTGAAAATTTCTGGCAAACTATTTCATCTTGACAATTTATAAGGAAATTATGAATGCACTAGCGAGTTGGACTTTATATATTGTTCTCATAAACCATGAGAAATTATCCTCGAGATTCTCCATGTATTACTTCCCCTTACTGAAAATCTCAAGACACTTCAAAGGTTAAGCTTCACAACACACTTAAGAGAAAATATAAATATTTTCCTTTTAGCATTGTGTCAGTTAAAAGTCGACACATTCAAAGTCACAAAAATCTGAGATAGACATGAAAAGGGAAGCCACATCTCATTTCTTAATCTTAGTTATTTCTTCCTTTTCAGACCTTCTTTGCTTAAAAATACTTTCCAAAATGTGACAGAGGATTTACTGCTATGCTWTGAAAACAGATCAGTTCTGTACCAGAATTTTTCCATTTATTTTTCTCATACAATTGCTGAATTGTAAGAATAGAATGTCCAAGTTTTCAGAAATTTGAAATGGAAAAAGCCAAGTAGACAAGTGCCCATGAGATCACTAGCAATTAAAGATGTTTTCAGGATTGTGTACATTTATTATTATATTGACATTTTTGAGGAATCAAAGGGCTAACTTCCACTGTCTCTTCATTTAATCACATACAYACACACACCAAAAAAATCTAGAGAGCATAAAAAGTAGCCTTAGGAAGTCAAGCAGAAAACCACTCCTCAGGAAGGAGCAAAGAAGATATAGCAGCTCCAGGCTGCACCACTTTCTGTACACATTCTGAACTCTGAAAGTCACCTTGTCTATATGTTGCGCCTGCTTCTGATGAAATTGCCATAGAAAAATCCCTAGCAGAGTCAGGCCCCTCTAGAAATGCTAAGCAAGCACAGCTCATGAAAAAATATTCTAACCAGGAAACCATCTTACAGAAGAAAACTGTGGAATGGATCATGTTTCAATTGTAGAGGAAAGCTTGCTACCTCAGGTGTCGGAGGCACAGCTTTCTAGAGTGGTTACAGCACATGAGATGGAGTACTACAAAACTGGCTGGATTCAGACTGTGTCTTGGAAGTTATAAATTTCTATAGTGCAACACACATAWCTAATCGCCTAAAAGTCCAACAGAAATAAATGCCCAGCAGGGAATTCCGGAACAAAAAGAAAAAAATAACAAAACACTTCCCAGATAAATAWTAGATGCAGCTGCACATTAACAAACAGTATTAACAAACAGTAGCCCTGACCTGAAAAAAGTTACCCATGAGGCCAGAGCAGAAAAGCGTTCACATCTTTTTAACTTCTTGTCACTGAGACTATCAAAAAATGCTGCCAATTAACATCTAGTAACATACAGTCTGCCCTGTGAGTAGAAGGAATCCATTTAAAATAAYGAAGAACTATCATATGCTATTATGGGAACACTAACCATGCCTTAATTATTTGAACAACCAGAAAGCTTAGAAGCTGCTTTATCAATCCCCATACCTGTTGGCTGGTAATCTTCACAGATGACTGGAACTAACTGGATTTCTACACTAATTATTTAACAGTACATCAAGTTTTTATGAATGGAAAAATATGTTCATACAGTTGAAAACAGTTCAGCGGCACACGATTACTGTCTATCATGGCGACAATCGGAAAGAGCAAGTTTTGAAGGATCTAATAATTCACATGCTACTAAAAAGTAGCTGCCACAAAAAGCAAAATACGCACCAGCTTCTCCAACTAAATATACCCGGTTCTTCACAAAATTTCCAGCAATATCATAAGAGGTTTTATACACTGTTACAATGAAAAGGTAACACTTTTTCAAATTCCTATCAGTTTCAGAAAGACAAATGAGTATACCCTGCAAAAAGTCATAGACAAAAGAAAGAAGGGAAAATTACTAAATAATTGTATTATCAATTGCAGGGTTTTGCTGACCAAAATGACCTTTCTCTTCTGATTTCTTGAATAAACAGATGTTTCAAACCATTTACACAAAAAGCCTGAAAACAGTTCCCATATCCTAGAATTCATTAGTGCAGCAAGCATTCTCCACTTCTTTTAGAGATATGTCTAATGCCTTCAAGTTTATTTTCCTAGTTAATAGCGACAGCAAAATTCCCCCAACCCTTCTGAGGCTGCAGTAGTTTACATGGGTACAAGAATAGGAGGAAGTGCTATGTTACTCGTGCTCAGGGGCTTTGTAGACCCTTCACACTTTCATAGTGTCCAGGTTCGAGCTGATTAAAGTTATTTCTACTCCAAAACAGAATTTCAACTGCTGGTATGTCTTGGGCAACTTGCAGTATTTCTGGAATACTCAGTAAATAAAATAGGCTGCAGCCARTTGTATGAGGTTTAACAAGGCCAAGTGCTGGGTTCGGCACTTGGGTTACAACTTCATGCATTGCTGTAGGTGTGGGGATGCTGGYTGATAGCAGCTGAACATGACCCAGCAGGTACTCAAGTGGCTAAGAAGGCCAGTGGCATCCTGGCCTGGATCAGCAACACTGTGTTGCCGGCAGGACCAGACAGTGATCATCCCTTTGTATTTGGCACTGCTGAGGGCACACATCAAATCCTGTGTCCAGTTCTGGGCCCTCACTCCAATAAATTCATTGAGGTGATGGAGTGAGGAACCCAGAGAGGGGTAACAAAGCTAGTGAAGGGTCTGGAACACAAGCCTTTTGAGAAGCAGCTGGGGGAGCTGAGGGTGTTTAGCCTGGAGAAAAGGAAGCTTGGGRGAGACCCTATCACTCTCTGCAACCACCTGAAAAGAGGTTGTAGCCAGATGGGGATTAGTCTCTTCTTAAGGTAACAAGCATAAGAAAGTGGAAATAGCCTCAAGTTMCACCAGGGAGGTTTGGACTAGATACTAGGAAAAACTTCTTCAATGAAAGGGTGGTCAACCATTGGAACAGGCTGCCCAGGGAAGTGGTGGAGTCACCATCCCTGGAGGTACTTAAGCGACATGTAGATGTGCTGCTTCGGGGACATGGTTTAATAATGGACTTGGCAGGTGCTCAACTTACAGTTGGACTCAATGATCTTAACTGTCTTTTCCAACCTATGTGATTTTATGATTCTAAAAGCATCAGGGAACCAAACAGAATAAAGAAATTCATCAGTCATCAATTGATACCTTCTTCACTGGTGTACTGAGTATACGGAGTTTACTTCCTTCTCACGCCCCCTTTCTGCTTTTGGGGGAAATGCAAAGGAAAGCTTCAGGTGGATAAATGAAACACTGGGCATTAACAAAACAGAATAGATTAGCAAAACCATTTTGATCAGGAGCATTTTGGACCCAAATCGCTCCAGGAAGACTAGCTTTCCAGAACGGGAATGCAATTAAGAAAGAATAAAAACCCTGTTGTCTTGAGTGTTCCTCAGTGCTTTTTGGAATCGTTCTTCACTTCGTTCAATTTCCACTTCAACCGAGTTCTTGCAGAGCAAGTTAACAAGTATAACTAACCCCTAGAGAAAATGGTATATACTCCCTCTCAATCCTCTCAATTGCTTTTCCAGGACACAGACTAAGCATCATTTTCATAGACGCTGAGAGTCTCTAGTTCCTGCTAGTTTCCATGAGAATTTGGTTTCACAAGTCATCCTCTCTCCTATCATCACACTGAATCTCAATGAGMCATAAAGATTCAGGTAAACTGAATCACACCAAGATGGTATTGGTAGAGGAGAATTATAATTTGCTCTAAAGGTTTTCAACTTACTGAGGCGGTTCCCAAAGAACCAAGGAGGCATATACTTGAATTGCTTGCAAAGATAATAAATATTCAGATTTTATGTTCCTGTGTTCACAGACTAAATGGAAAAAGATATGTTTTAATCACAGAACACTCCATTCATCTCCATCATCTTAAATCAAGGAAAAAGCTTCCTTAGAAAAATGCATAAAATTAATCTAGTATAAACCAGATGGCTTTAAAATTTAGAAGCTGCTTCTTCAGGAAATTACTTTAGAATTCTTTACTAACCTCAGCTACTCTTTCCAAAAGYGGTTCCAGCCAGTGTTCATTGCACTCGCAGTGACTATCCAGGAAGGTCAACACTTTTGCTTGTGCTGCATCTGCCCCTCTGACACGTGAGCGCATCAGGCCTGAAAAGTAAAGATAAAAGGTTTTAAATACTTCCTGAGGAAAACAATCAACAGCAGTGAGAAACTATTGCATTCCAAGATAGTCACTAGTTAAATTACTCTAACTCAAACAGGACAAACACATAAGATCCATTTTCAAAATCAGATGCTAGTTAACAATTTAGTGAAATGACTTCTCACAGAACAKAGTTGCTTGGTTGTAAGCACCCAACCTACTGCATGCTATAGCTTTCCATCTGATTTAAGCAAAAGAATCAAAGAACCTTTCCAAAACAAGGGATACACAAGTACAGATGGGTCTGCATTATCTTAAGTGGTATTTACACTGATAAATGTTACTCAAGATCGGACCTGAAAACCAATACATCTCCTACAGTTCTATTATAAAAGTGAGGAAAGCACCACCATTAACTTATCCTCCCCATCTTTTTGACACCCCCATCTTGGTTCTTACCAGAGTCTGTCCATTCTTCTATTAACTCRTTCCAGAAATAACTGTGCTTCATTAATTCCCACCTGAGAGCTTTACCCCAATCCATTTGAACTGTCTTTCCTCTGTGATTACRGCAATTCTTTTGTTTTGTGGTTTGTTTGGGGTTTGTTGCTTTTTTTAAATAGATGTCTTTAGGAAGAAAATTCTGGTAAAATCAAATGGTCCTTTTCCTGTCTATGTCTCAATTATATAGATACTCTCACTGATTTACCCTGCTCCTTTCCTTCCTTCCCTTTTACTATTTGTTCATTGGATGACCTCAGCATTCTTGAAAGTCCCTTGCTATATATACACATACAGCAAGCTTCCTCCCAATTCCTTCACAAATTTCCTCCCTACTTTTTTCTATTACTATTCAAAATTTATTTCTTTTTGTCCCACAAGACCAAAACCATGTCTTCTTTTCTTTCTTTTTTCTTTCTCCATTGTTTCCCACTAAATCAATTCCGGTTTGTTGGGGCGTGTYCCCCCCCCCCCCCCCCGACTGAAACACTGTAAAAGAGTCAAGCCTATTTCTTACCATTTCCTTTACAAAATAAATACACAAAATATGACTACGCCAAACAGAATACAAGATGCTTGAGAGGAAAAGCTTGTTTGCTCTGTCCAGCATTCAGTAACYGCCTCATCAAGATCCTTTTCCTATCTCTTATTTCAAGTGTGAGCACTTCACTGTTGCAGATATGCCCTGTGCTCTGGCTCTCTGACATTTTACACCTTATCTGTGGCACACTGGCTTCTAACTGTAGCTCACGACATTATGTCGTTTCCCTGATTACAGCCTTTAAATCTGTTTTGTTCAGTTTTTCCACATCAAACATTCCTCAAGCACTATGGCTCTATTTTTTTTTTAACTTTTCAATTCCTCCTCCCAGACCTTAATACTTCTAAATAACATTGTTGTAGAATCTACTGCTTCGCTTTAATTCTAGAGAAAACACATAACACTGTTTCTAATTTCAGATTTAGTGGCAAAGAAATGGAGGTGAGCCCTATGGTCATTGAGTCCTTCACAATGACTTTTATGCTTACAACAAAGAGAGCTGAAAAGTTTCCAAGGACACTTTTATTCTGTAGACTACCATACCCTCCACAGCACATGTGTTCCCATAACAAACTATGAAACTACAGATAAGACTAAAAGTTACTTTATTTCTGAAAGRAAGGAATTTAATGTCATACCCTTCACTGATACCATTCTTTTACTCTTTTTGTTTTAAAACACACTGCTTTCCTCTATTGCTCACACTACTAAGTTACTCAACATCCTACACAGTGGTTGATTTTACCAATTCTCTTACACTTTAATTTTTATGTGCAATATTTAATCTTAATCTCACAAAAATACAAAGTAAACTAATACTCTGCCTTCAATCTGCAGTTGTTCTTTTCTGACATAGTAATAGATCTGTCAAATTATATTTCATTTCAGATATACTGATGAACATTCCTAAGTATGTATTTGTATATGCATTACAAATTAGTATTTATATTTACTAAGAAAACAAACATCAAAAAGGTGTTACTTCATTCTATTTTTTCCCTTAATTATCTCCATCTTTAAGTGCTGCACTGAAAAATTACRTTAACTTGCTCAGAACCTGGCAATCATGGCAAGTCACAAAAAATCTGCTTTCTTACTAAGCCTTTTTTTTTTTTCCACAAGTATATTCCAAACAGAATATTTAAACACTAAGAACCCATCAGGTATTGCAATAAGTTTAATTATGGGACAACACAGGCTTTGTGTATGTCATTTCCAGTTCCTGACAATCTAATGATTCCAGCTCCTCCCCAGGCCAGGCTGGTAGTCTAGAAGATACAGTGCTTATAAAAATAAACAAGCACATATCAGCTAATCCAGTCAACTATTTCAACTGTCAAATCTCAGTTATTATTTCAAGCAGCTATAGAATAACAGTTGCCTGTATCTAATACTTCAAACTCCGCTGTCAGTTACGTACTGACTGAAGGGCTCAGTGATTGGAAACCATAATTTACAAAGCAACATAGAAGAAAAYAAAAATGTAAGACAAATTTGTCACAGGGCACACCTGCTTCAGCAAAACCATACTTGCTCCCAGCACCCCCGGCTGCTCAAACCCTCTCAAGTTAAAACCAATTGTTTCAATTTCAGGCTGTCCATCAACTAAATTCTTAAAATTATATCTAATAAGGGAACCAGTAAAAGAAGAGGGCTATTTTTAAGCTGCATCATTTCAAACATAGACACATTTTACAGTAAGACCCTGCATACAATGGGAGCAGATTAACTAAGGATTCAGTGCAGTAAGAGAAAGGAAAGGTTGAAGATTTAATGCAATTCCTGAAGGAAGCTTTCACTATAAAAGCAAAACAATGTGCGATTGTTTCTGTATTGTGTGCACAATCACAGTTACTGTTTTTACCTGAACAAATACTTTTAAAAATTCCTTCCACTAGTATATTTATAAAGTGAAAATCTCCCCTTCAATATGAAATATGAAGCAGAATGTTCCTTCAAAAGACTTGATGTAAACTAATAGACAAGGCAGTACAGTGGAATTTGTATCTTACTCCTCCAAGATTAAGCCTACCTTCCCGGCGATCATTTCGAAGAACGCGTACTTTTTCAATTTTTCCCAAGAGWGCACCATCATCAGCTTTAAAACAAAAAACAATTCAAATAATTTAAAAGAATATCAAGCTATGAGAACCACTTTGAGATCCAACATTGTATACTGGAAGAGAGGCTGTCTTCAAAGAAAAACAAAAGCTTTGTAAGTGAAAAAGTTTGTGGTCATAATTAGTGACTCATCTCAYAAGAAAAAGAACAATTACCAGGCAAAGAAATTATTATCTTCATTATGTTAGTCAAACCTAGCTTAAACCTAGCTTAATTTTACAGCTGTGAAATAATTTTATTTAATTTGGCTTACTTTAGACAGTTTCTACACTGCATAGAGAGAAAAAAAACTTTCAAATAATCYATTTCCTTAGCATTTAAGAAAGCTCACTTTCTAACAAACATTAAGACAAACCTGTCCTAGGCTAGCTAAAAAAGTAGTAATGTGATGTGGGTTAAGATTTTTCCCCTTTTGTTCCCTTTCTTTGGGAATTTTTTCTTTCCCATTTGTTGCTGAGATACACTAATTGCCAGGTCATCCTTTTGCTGGCTGGG